GTTGAAAAAAAAATTCCCTGAAAATTTGAGCCCTTAACTTTTATTCTAAGTACTTCCTTTTTAATTTTGTAGTTTTTCCATATAAAAAAGATGTATTTTTAATCATTTTTACTTTAAATTTCTATATTTTGGCTGGGTTTTGAATTATAATTTTTATCACCATAATTTCCTGCATAGTATTCACGGTTTTTGAAAGGCCCTGCATCAATTTTGTTGTAGGAAATTTAATTTTTGACAAAAAAGGTTTTTACGTTCATATCACTAAAGTGCTTTGTTTAAGAGATATAAGCAATTCAATAATATAACCAAAAACAAAGAAAAAATAGGTTTTATTAAAATTTATGTAATTTGATTAAACAACTATATATTCCTTATATCTCTTAAACAAAGCACTTTAGTGATATGAAAGTAAAAACCTTTTTTGTCAAAAATTAAATTTTCTACAACTTTTTTATTTGAACTTTTTCGGTAAAACCAGTCATTCGCTCGATTTTCTCAAAAATATGTGAAAAGAGTGAAAAAACGACTTTTGGAGCTACTATAGTATACAACCAACGTAAATAAATCAAAAACAAAATTGATGCAGGGCCTTTCAAAAACCGTGAATACTATGCAGAAAATTATGGTGATAAAAATTATAATTCAAAACCCGGCCTAAATATAGAAATTTAAAGTAAAAATGATTAAAAATACATGCTTTTTATATGGAAAAACTACAAAATTAAAAAGGAAGTACCTACTTAGAATCAAAATTAAGGGCTCAAATTATCAGGGAATTTTTTTTCCAACCTAAAAAACAAAATTTTCATGTGTCAGCAAGAAAAAAAAAATGTTCGTTTTAAATGAAACACCCTAGCGTATACTTAAGACGGCTGTACTAGAGATTCCTCGGCGATACAATTTTTTTATATTTATATATTTACCAAAAAACTGTGATGTATTTTTTGCAATATGTACCAATATCAATAAATAGGTAAATATACATATAAGGATGATATTTTATTTGGCTTAAGTTTAATGTAAACTTCTACAGTACAACTTGATTATAAATAACATCTATCAAACTTGTAAAAAACTTTAAGGGCCCCCCCCTAGACGAATTCCTTCCGGCGCCCATGTAGCGTACTATCGGGAAGTTTCTTTCACCAAATGAGAGTCTGTCCGCGATGTAATCCACATCATGTGGTACTGGGCGTGTGAAGTCAGAACTGGCTCCGTCGCGCAGATCACGGGTACTCATCGCGGGCTATCCATTCAAACTTTTCGGTATATTAGAGACATTTTATCTTGGAAATTAATGCAAGAACCATTTTTATTGGGTAAGTACAATATTATATAATATTATCAACAGTTAAGTATACCTAATTGTTTTGAAAAAGTACCAAGTATAAAGAATAAACTGACCACGCCCATCTCGATTCGCTCAGCATTTATGTAAATTGAATAAGTTCACAAGTGGCCTGGGCGGGCTTGGTCAGTGCCTGAGCCCATTTTTGCGCGCGCAAAAATGGGCTCAGGCACTGACCAAGCCCGCCTCGCTTCGCTCGGCATTTAATTAAATTGATTAAGTTCACAAGTAGCCTTGGCGGGCTTGGTCAGTGCCTGAGCCCATTTTTGCGCGCGCAAAAATGGGCTCAGGCACTGACCAAGCCCGCCTCGCTTCGCTCGGCATTTAATTAAATTGATTAAGTTCACAAGTAGCCTAGGCGGGCTTGGTCAGTGCCTGAGCCCATTTTTGCGCGCGCAAAAATGGGCTCAGGCACTGACCAAGCCCGCCTCGCTTCGCTCGGCATTTAATTAAATTGATTAAGTTGCCTAAGTCCATTTATGCGCTCGTAAACTAAATTTATTATTACTTTTAGGAGGCCCTGGGACAACCGTACAAATTGATGAGTCGGTCATAACGAAAAGGAAATACCACAGAGGGCGCGTGGTCCCCGAAAAATGGATTTTAGGGATTTATGATACCACGAACAATCTGGGATATATACAGCATGTTCAAAACCGTAGTGCCCAAGTGCTAATCCCAATTATCCAGAACCACGTGAGAGCCGGAAGTGAGATCTGGACCGACATGTGGAGAGGCACACCGCACTGTTAACCATTCTCGATATTTTCGAGATCCAGTGACTGGTGTATGTACCAATCATGTGGAAGGCTATTGGAGCAAGCTCAAGCAATATTTACGGCGGTTGGGAGTAATTGGTTCTCCATTCTTATACGAATATATCGACCAATTTTTATGGAATGGTCTTTATGGGGGTACGGCAGTCAATCGCTTCAGTAATTTAATATTACATATATCCCAACGCTATCCGTAATTTTTTAAAATCTTTGTTTTTATTTTTTTTTTCAATATTTTTATAATTTAAAATTTTAATGTTCATTCATTTATTAAAACATTATTTTTCCCCACTAGATAGTAACTACCATATTGTTAGGTTTGTTCCTACCGAATATTTTGACTATTAAATGAACGTCATGAATATGTACAATAATAAAATTGCGCAAACAATTTTAGTATTGAGAATGTTCCCTGACTTTCACTCGATAGTCAAAACACTCGGCAAGAGCAAGCCTATTTTAGACCGATGAGCCATAAAGCCTGATTTATAGATTGCCTTCCTTCCTTCCTTCCTCCCGTAGAAGTTGAAGAAAACAAAAACCTGTTGTCCCGTAGGGAAATCTATAAATGGCACTACGATTTTCGTATTGTTCATCTTATACGAGAGGAAGGAAGGAAGGCAATCTATAATTCAGGCTTTAGTTATGACTCGTCGTTGCGATAGTAATCTTGTCCAGTATGACAGGAATCTTCTCTAAAAATTTAATTTTGAACTTTAAACTAATTTTATAAACAGAATCACGCTCATAACGAGCGGACGGTGGCTCAAAACAATGTGACTTTAGTGGCGATCGACTTTCGCGTCGATCGTCACTGTACCGTAAACTGGGGCTACTTTGAACTGCGGGGTAACATTGAACAAAATAACAATTTTGTTTTAAGGTAACAATATACCTAAGATGATAATCACTTAAGTCTAACTCCGCTGTAGGTTTGTTCAGCTGTGCTTAGAATATAGGTTGGCAACATGGCTTGACAATTTTGTTGTTATGTTGGTAGTACTGGACAGATCAGTAATATAACATAAAATAATAAAGTTCAGAAGCTGTCCATTAATTATGACCAGTTGACTGATTTCCAATGACTTATTGACTTGATAACTTTGGAATACTGTTCAATGAAGCCCCTTTGTATGGGGCTACATTGAAAAAATACGGCATTTATATGCGTGTTCAAAGTAGCCCCAGTCGTAAGGTTACTTTGAACACCTAAAAAAAAAATGTTATTAAATATTGAAAAATAAAAATAAATTCCAATTCTCTAGAGGGCACAAGTCCCCCCAATATAGAAAAAAAAAAATTAAAAAACAGTAACGGTAAAGGAAATATCGGTAGTTGAGGGTAAAAACCGTTCAAAGTAGCCCCAGTTTCTGTAACCCTGTTTGTACAACTTGTTGTTTGTACCTTGGTTTTGTCTAGGCCCAATGTGACTTTAGTGGCGGTCGACGTCCACGTCGATCGTCGCACTAGCCCTGTACTGTACAACTTGTACAATTGTACAGTTAACTGTTTGTACAATTTTTAATTAATATGAATGCATTTTAAAATTTGAATTTATAAACATATTTTTTAACTCTTGCATATTATTTAGATTATTTTGGTATTTTCGTATTAATTGTACCCACCTAACAACGGGAATAATAAACTCATTATTTACGTTGCTAGGCATCAGTGATTGGCCAATTTCAATATTCACGATTTAAACCAATCAGGATTTAAATTGTGAAAAGTGAGATTGTAACTGTCTAACAGATGTCAGATTTTTACATATATACAAAGGGTAACTATAATTATCTTTAAAATCGAGAGAAAGTGAGGTTAAAATTTATTTTTTTAATAATAAAATTTACTTAATTGGAGTAAAAAAAGCATAAATAGTATTAAACTTAAGATAATGCACAGATAATGTGCATATACCTATAGGTATAATATAATAGTATAATATATATATAATACTATTATACATAGTATTTATTAAATATTATACAGTAATGTGATTTGTTTGTATATGGTTTTTGTACTTATCTCTAATTTTTAAATGTGTTTTTTTATTTGGAAAAATAGGTAAACTACTAATTTGTATATACCACAGAGTAAAACAACATACCTATTAAGTTTCAATCAATCAGAATTGAAATAACAAAAGATAAAATATGAAAATAAATATTAGGCCCCTACATTAGACACTATTAATGTTATATTTAATTGTTATATTTGTTGCATAGGTAATTAAGAGTTTATTTTGTTGTTTCATCTATTAATTTAAAAAGTATGTACAATCTTTATATATAAAATTGTTATCTTAATAAATACATTTTAAAAATCTGTTTTATATTATTTTTTATTAACACAACATATACCTATAGAGAGTTCTTTAATTTATGGTATAATTCATATTTATAAATAATACCTATTTTAGAATGCAATCTTGGTTGCATACCGAATTTCCCTAAACAAGGTAAACATATTACATCTGGCAACATTGCTTCGAATCTGACATTTTATGTCAAAAAAATTGTTAAAAATTACATTTTCAAACTTAATTTTCTCAAAAATTACTTAAAAACCCGCATTTTTTATTTTTGATATTGACTATTTAAAACACCCTTTTTTTAATGATGTCAATAAAAATTGGAAATTCGGAGTGAGTTAAAGTCGACCGGCCCCAAAGTTTTTTTTTTAATTTACTTTAAATGAAAATTATGGTAGTCACTAAAAAAATAAACAAAAAATCACTAGATAATTACGTGTAGTATTCCAGTGTTGCCGGATCTTCTAGAGGATAATGACAGATTAATAATTTTGGTTGGAAAAAATACGCGGTAAAAGTCCCCTCTCTTTTTATGACAATAACCTCAAAAAACTGTTTTTTGACAGTAACCCTTTCAAATTAATTTTAAAATATGTTTTCCAAGAAAGTCACCGTTTCAAAGGAAGAACTCCAAGAGTTTCGTAGAGTTTTCGACAAATTTGACATGAAGCAAAAACGCGAGGTACCGATAAAAAAACTTGGACACATGATGGATATTTTTAATCAAAACTTCACGAAATCCTACATTAAAGATTTATCCATTGCACTAAACTACAGAAAAAAAGGCAAGTTTACTTACGACGATTTTTTAAGGATCGTTGTACCAAAGATGATACTGAAGCAAACTAGAATGGAACTTCGTGAAGTTTTTAATGTTTTGGATAGAAGCGGTATGGGGTATATTTGCGAGGAAGATTTAGCATATTGTATGAAAGCTTTAGGTGTGGATAATAGCAGCGAAAGGGTACAGGACATTTTGAAGGAATCGGACTTGGATGGAGATGGCAAAGTCACGTTCGAAGATTTCTGTAAAATATTAACCACCAAGTAAATTGAAAATGTATTTTTTATTATTATCCTTGTAATTATTTTTCTTAAAATTTGTTGTGTATTTTAAATATTACCCCTTTTATTAAAATATCCAAATTAAAATAAATTTTAAAGTGTTTCTTGCAAGGCAATAAATTATTTTAGTTGTTGAAAAGTTAAAACTAAAAAGTGTACGGCTGGGGATATTAGAAGCGTCTGTTTAAAACGCAGACAATGTGTCTTATGTGTCATGTTATAATTAAAAGTTTTAGAGTACGAAATACAAAAGCTGTTAAAAAATAAGCAAAAACAAAATGAAATTTAAATGGAAAATAAGCAATCCATATTTTTACATAGTATGTTTAAAACGTTAACCATTATTATAATATAAGTAATAATTATTATATTAATTATAATTAAAGGCCTTAGAATAAAAGTAATATATATTATATGTATAGCATATGCAAAAATGAAAAAATTTCATCTTAAAAGTTAAGTTAAGTTTTTAACAGTAAAAATGATTTTTCGTGCTTTATTATACCTAATTTTGCAGATAATGCATTTTTGCTTAACAGGGCTGCTGCACTTATACCCCTTTTATTCAATTGTACTTATTAACGTATTTTTGCAAAAATGGCGAATGCGCCGGGATAAATAGTTGGTTAAATGGAATTTATCTATTTTGCGTTCATAATGACTTCATTATAACACCGCTTTCATTGCTGTAATGAGATACTTTATCCCACCCAAAAATTTTGATTTTATAGGTTGGCTATAATATTTTGCATATTGGTTAAAATATTTTCTAGTAGGTACTTTCTGGCAATAAATTTTGTTTACACCAAAAAATCCTTTTTTTCTTCTTTAACATTAACAGCCGCTTATTGTAAATGGGTAAATTAAGGACGGCATGGCGAATCGATTTTGACATTAACTGTCAAACCAATGACTGTGATACCAACTGTTTAAAGTAAAATTCGACCGAATTAAATTTAAGGTATAAAATTAATTTTTTTTATAGAATTTTTGCAAAATAGATAAAATAGCATAAAGAACTCATATCATAAGACCTTTTGTCGCACTCGTCCATTACAAAACTCGCTCCTTCATCGCTCATTTTATAAATTGTCCGCGTGCGACAAAATTACGTCTTATGACATTAGTTCTTTAATATACTATTATCTACGACAAACACAAAGAATAATTTAAAGCCAATAGGGTGATTCAAAAAAAGCCTTTTTTTTAAAATGAACCCGCACTGGCCTAAATTATAAAGATTACATTAAAACTAAAATATTGATACCAAAAAATCCAAATTCGATGAATATTTAGAGGTCGCTCAAATCAATTTTCGTATTTTTGCACATTCGAGCCGCGAAATTATTACTGCGCAAAATAGTAAATAACTCCGTTAGTTTTTAATCGATATTATTAAAAATTTAAGGGTTACCTAGTTTTTTAATACCCTCTGAGACAGTAAATTAAACTTTACGGAAAAAAATTTTTTTCATGAAAAAAAAATAATTTGTTAATAAAAACGTATCATCTTATAAAATAAGCAACAATTGGAATCGCACTATGGTGGTACCGTAAAATAACTAAGAAAATAACACTTAAATTATTTAGCATACATAAAACCTGCCGAAAGAAATATTTTATTTTATTTATATAAAACATAACCTAATAATAATTAAGTTATTCAAATTTTTCCCATTTTCATACGATTTTATAAATAATTTATATCCGTTTTATTAATTATGACGTATTTTTATAATATTTCTTTATTTTTGATACCATATTTAATTAATTACACTAGGTAGTTATTAAATTAGGTCCTTTTTACAACAAAAATAAAATAACGTTAACTACAAAATTATTCACTGCATTGATATGGCTTAAGCAGAAATTTAAATTTTATTAAAATTATTGACATACAACAATTCTCAAATTTTTATACCAAAATTATTTGATTCTGTCTAGATGTTGCTAAATTGACATACCACAATAATAATTATTATTCTTAAATTTTGATAGTAGGACCTACTACCAGGTAGTTGATAAATTATATAAATATAAATATATATATATACACAATGTATATTATACATATATATATATAGACTTATAAACGCTCTTATACAGGCCCGTACAAGATAACTTTAGTACGTTTTAAAGCCCAAAGCGACGTTATAAAACCCGGCTTTGGGCTTTACAACGGAGCCCGAGTATATAGTAGCCATTCGATTCTCCTTTCTTTCTGCACCCTCCTGTTAAAATTTTTGATGGGCCTCAAAAAGTACCATTTATGCATTCATTTATACAAAAAGTTTGGAGAATTTCACTGTAGGGGGCGCTTCTGAGTATATATTTATACATTTATATTAACGTATCGTTATCAGCCCCTAAACTTGGCAACACTGCTGGGCCCGACAACGCGCGTACAATATATTTTTATAAATATACGGCGGCTTTAGAAATTAACCATAAAAGCACTATATTTTAGAGGATATTTTATTGTAGCAGTTTACTGATCTATAAATTGCTGTTGCAGTCCAAAGCGACATACAATTTTTAAAACCGCGGAACTACACCTTTTTTTTAAATTTTTTGGGTTTCCTGTAAATATGTATAATTATTTGGTTCCAGAATTCAATTATAAATTTATTTTATTTTTAATAAATTTGCGAGGTTGGCAGAGGAGCTAAAATAAGTAATTACAATTATTTGTTCGTGGATTACAATTTTTAGTGTATTCCATTTATAACTGATTTATATATTTGCATGGATCCCCTAGGGGTAAAGTGGTGGAAAAGAGGATAAAATAAAAAATATACATAATATATTACTAATACTATTATTCCAAAACTGTTAGTAATGATTGTTATAAAGTTAGTATAGTATTACAAAAGTTGTTCTGGTTTTACAAAAAAAGTAGCTGACTTTTATAGCAATTAATAACCATGTATAGAGAACTGTTTAGTAATTAGTACTAAAAAATCAAAATGGCCTCAAGTAATTAATGGATGCCCCCTATATATAATTATATATATTATATAATATAATAAAATATAATATATTATAATTAATTACCACGAGTACTATTTGCAACTACAAATAATATTTGCTATTACACACCTTAAAATATTCGACATATATTTTTTGTATTTGGAGGACAATTTTATCGAACAAATGATTAAAAAATTGATAAATTGAAAAGGATAGGCCAAAAATTGTCAAATAAAGCTCAGAGCCCTTGGTTTACTTTTGGCAGATGACAGGTAAAAAAAATTGCCCTACATAGTCTAAGCGATTATTGGAATTAAAAATATATTAATATATATTTTTCACCATAATATTTACTTTTATCATACACAAATTTTTTATATACAGGCGTTGAGTGAAGGAGCAGTTATTAATCAATGATTCAGGCGTTTTAATTTTAAATATATATATTCAAATTTCGCACTACCCTAAAATAGGTGATAAATATTCGTTATAAAGAGAAGAAACTAAAAATTGTTTTTTTCAGTAATGTGACACATTTTGAAAGTTTATACGCTCACAAAACCCCTGTTGGTTATTATTCTAAACAAGAACATTTTTAAAAATATTCGATTGTAGTTTAAAAAAAATACTGCCGGCCAATAAATATATTTTTCAAATTTATAGAAAACACCTAACCCCTTACCCCTTAAGGGTTAAACTTGATAATATCTATAATATAGATTCTACATGTCATTTTATGCATATGCACGGAGAGAACAGTTTTGGGAATGGTTACTAAAAATTTAGTAATTTGGGGACTGCTTTAATATTTTAAAAGTAAGCGCAATAATTTTCATATATTTAGCATAAGTGTTGTTTGGCAACTATGCCTTTACTGAAAAATAGTAATTACAAAATGAAGGAAGATCTAAACTTGAGTTTAATAACTATAATTATACTATAATTATAGTAGTTAACTATTTTGAATTTACCATTAAATATGCACAATTAAATAATAATAATTAATTTAACTGAATTAAACGATACCCAGCAAAATGCAAAAGATAGCCGACCAGAGCCGGATTTACCGAACAGACAACGTAGGCAGCTGCCTAGAACGGAAAAAATTAGGGGTAACTAGACAGTAGTGTCGAGCTGCGAGGAACTAGACATTAGTGTCAATATTGGAACACTCGATCCAACTTGCAATTTCCGAAAACAAATAATATTAAAAGCTCAGATGGGATGAATCTAGAGATGAAGGGAAAACTTCAATATAAATACTTTGGGTGAATTTGGACAGAATTTTTTCTAAATTAGTATAGCATACAAAGTTCTTGATAAAAAATAACAGAGAATTTTTGCATGTTGTTTGAATAAACACTTCGTGACAAGTTTCTTCAATTAAAAAATTTCAAGATATAGAATGTTTAAGAGTAATATGATGATGAAGTGAAAAACTACTTGAGATAAAAATTTGTTGAAGAACGGTTAGCTATAGAGTCAGATTGTCTTATGTCTTATTTCTATATTATAAACACGCCAAATTCCTAAATCCGAACCTGTAGCCTACATAGAAAAATAATATTGGGAATTTGCTTCCACACTTTTAGTAGGTACCTATATTAATTAAATACAAATTATTAATATATTGTGAAAACTTTTAATATAACTTAAAACTATTATTGAAATGTATACTAAATTAAAAAAGTAATAAATTATTAACTTAATAATGACTCGTTAAATATTAATTATTAATATTTTATTTTATAGTAATTACTATAATAGTATTATGTATCAAGTTTTATAAAATATTTAAGTTACGAGTTTAATTAGGCAAGAGCGAAGCTTGCGAGCGAGTGTTTAATAAAAACTAGTGCCTAAAGAAGTTTATAAACGAGTTACATACTATACGTATACTATCTTCGACGAACACAAAACAAAATTTAAGGCGAATATTATTTGTTAAAAATTTGACATCTGTCAACTGTCACCCGGATTTAACCTCACATTTTCTAAATTCATAATATAGCGAACTTAAAAGGCACTGTTGCTAACTTCAGCTCGGGACTAAAATGCCATAAGGCCACAGGTCGTCAATAGAGGAGTAGATAAAATAAAATAT